AGTCAGCTGTTTAGATCAATCCTGAAGAAACCATGGCCCAAGTAAGTACTCACATCTGATATCAATTCCTTAGCATCCAGCGCAAAAATAGGCTGATCGAAGACCAATTGCCTCTTAATCACAGAATGAGTTGCTCATCGAATGTATCTTCACTCCCATTATTTGTAAGGCCTCCCGGCAACGGGGTACCTTGATGGTGTATAACGTGAAGATGATGCAAATTTGGTGGTACAGGTCTTGCAAGATCAACTTATGCAAGTATCCTATCAACAACAATCCAATCAGGTACTTCGAGGATCACCAAAGGTAAGTGTCAGTGATCTATTCAGTTTTGTTCTTTTTTTTCTGTATGATATCAATCTGAGCTCACCTCTTTACTTGGGAAAGGAAACCAAACTGATTTATCTGGAGTAATGTCTTGAATGTTTATCTCCTTGTCGTGGAACGATGGCAATGAAGCCTCATTGGAACAATCCTCTGGCTTGGAGGAAATCTGGCCAATGGCTAACTCAAGGAAATGCAACCAGGTAAGCTCAACATTGTTGTTATCTTCTTCATCTGGTTCCTTCTCAAAAACATCCAGCGGAACCGTGTTTGTTTTGTGGACCTCTTCAATTCCATCTGTCTCTGACTGATCGACACCATTCTCATGATTATTGCCGACCAGTGACTCCATTAGACTGATATCCTTGTTAACTACAAACCTATCTCGATTTGATACTTCAATGGCGGCCCTTCGAGAAGCTAATCGATCACGCTGTGGAACTACTCTTGGGATGAATAGAGCTTGAGAGGGATGAGTGCTTTATTGGGCTGCCTCTCTGATAACAAGAAAATATAAGAGTATGGACTCTTAAGGAAAGGTGTGGCTTTGGAGATTTCTTGAGAATGTTATGTCTAATATTTCTTATGTTTACTAGTCTAAATATACTTGTTCACAAATCAAGGTATCCCAAATGTTGATGGGCAAATACCTGGCTAATAATGGGTGATCAGTTATCTGAATTTCTGGGGCAGGATCTGATGAGGAACAAATGAAGAGGAAAAACAAAGCTCCTTATATACAAAATTCTGGGGAGTGGCCAGCTTGTGGTTGGAAGATAAATGGAACATTCTATGAAGAGTATGAAACAAGGGAAAATATGTTTATCCCATAGAAACAGGGGAAATACGCAGTGGGAAAATGCTCCCAAGGTTACTAGTATGAAACAAATAAGGGGGAGAATATTCCATGGAAGAAAATAGGAGGAGATAACAGTTTCATGGACAAGGGGATTGTTACTAGTGTGAGACACAAGGAGAAAGAAGAATGGAATATGTTTGAGGGGGAATGAGTTTCAGGGCTGTGGAGTTTCTGTCTGGGAAATAATATTATCCATGTGGCCAGTGCTTGAGGGGATTCATGATTGGTTTGGGGGTCTGGGGAGCTTTCTGGGGTGTCTTGATCCTGTGATTCCTCTGTGATTGGTACTCTTGATAACTTTGAATTTTCAGGAGTGGCTTACCACAACGCCTCTCTTTTTCCTCTTGCACAAGGTCTTGGTGTCGCTTGTTGTGGCAATGTTGATTACGATTTTTTGTGCTCTAGCCTTTATAAAGCCAACACCGGTAAGCCAGTCCCTTTGTGGTGTTTTTCTGAATAAAATCTTTTACTTGCAATCACCAAGTCAGCATGGAATTTTATTAATCTTGTCTCCAAAAGAAATGGTGCACACTTGTAGTCCATATCCATTGTGCAATTTTACATGATGACTTTTTTCAGTTCGGGTGCTTGTCCGGTGCTTCTTGGTCTTGTCAGGACTTTGCGGATTGATTGTTCTTGATGAGTTTTTTTTTTTGACTGCACTAGAAAAAGTGTTGG